TAGAATGAATTATGTGTACTTTCCCTTCTAAACGAAACCATAAACAAACAGCATTAAAGATCAAATTAAAAAATTACGCCCAATTCAAATATCATGCCAACCCAATCAACTATAAATCTACTTCATTAATTAAAGAAGCAAGCAAAATGGAACAGAAACTGTACCTTTTACAGTGACGAATTTCAACTCTCAAATTTCTTCCACCCTTCTTTAGTTTCTTCATCCTCCCTTCATGTACTGCTACTGTGTTTTTCTGCATCTCTCCTCTTTCCATTGACTTTTTCTTCATTTCCAGGTTCTTCCTTTTCCTATTTAGCATGGATTTCTCTCTACCCGTGTCCAATTCCAGATTTTTCTAAATTCAAAATGTATTTTTTTGAAAAAAATAAGTAAATAAATAAGGAGAAAGGCTAACTTTTTTCCTTTCTTCTTTGCCGTAAATTCAACTGCGCCATTTCGCTTCCTTCAATTTAGTCTGGGTTCTGGAATTGGGCCTGTTCCAATGGAATGGAGAAGCTTAGGTTTCCTGTTGGGCTTAGAAAGCCCAATTTTGTTTTTCAAAATAAAAAATTTTTTAAGCCCGATTTGTTTTTCTTGTACCTTATTTTCCGTTTGTCTACGTTGATAACATTAATTAATAAAGGTTTATTATGTGGTAAATAATGGGAAAGATCGATTATAAAAAAAAACAGGGGATGGAGATCACAATATTATTCTTTTTAGCCCCAAAAAAAATATTATTTTGATCCCATACCCCGATCTAGTGGTTTAGATCTTAAGTTAATGTAGATTATTTCTTGTAGGTTATTTTACAAATTTCGTTTCACAATCTCCTTTTTACTTAATATGTATTCATTTTTTTTCTTTTAAAAAATAAAAATACATTGTTCTTGACTTTATGTCCAAATTTAATGTATTTAAAAAATAAAAAGTTCTTTCAGAAATTAAAAAAAATATATATATAACATAAATAAATTGAAAAAAGTGTTATATAGTTACAGTGCATAATGTAAACCAATAGCTCGGACAGGCCTCCCAAATGCAAGGAGACCCTCTTAATGTGATATGCTTTGTATTTTACAATGCAAAGTAATTAAAATTACAAAATACTATGCTGTAAATAAATATATCAATGAAATAATTGTAAGCAACATCATTTCACTCATATATATGAAACACATTACATCTACTTGTTATATTCCTTTACAAACATTTCTATGATCTAACTAATTTTCAAACCACATCTACTTATGAAATCCAAGTTAAAAAAGGAAAAAATTTTCAAGACTTTCTTTGTTTTTTTAATAACTCCAACGTTGAACCTATTAGAGAAAACAAAATTAGAAAAATTAATTAACATATTTCCGCTTCTTTTCCCCTTTGTTTTTTTGGAATTAATAATATGTTTTTCTTTTCCCCAAAAGGGCCAAAACACACTTTATCTGCGCCATATGATACTAGTAAAAATTAGTTCTCTTAATTACTCCTCAGTTAATTTAGTGGTTTCCACGGTTAATCATTCCCTTGGGACTGATTAAGCGATTCCAACCTCAACAACCTCATCTCCTCATTGAACTTCTTTATAAATGCCTCAACTCGTCGATTCTATTCGTCCTGACTCAGCAACGGTTCCTTTCTCAGCTTCAATACTGAAGCCGGGGACGAGCTCACTTGCAGCGGTGACATCTGGAAATTGGTCTGGTCCTTGGACGTTTCCGATTTCTTCACCACCGGCGACGGCTCAGCGAGCGAATCCACGTTCACCTAATTCTCCCATGTGTCCTCGAACGTCTCTGATTTCTTCAGGTGCCTCGATAACGGTATTTCCTTCTTCTCCGTAATCATTTTCCACGTGCTCTCCATCGTCCCGTGCCGTCTCGACTCTCAGCGATCGACCACCTAGTTAACAACAAATAGAATATACAGAAAGAATTATTAACGAAATTAAAATTTTGTCAATCTTGATTCTGAAATTTAAACATGCAGGGGAAGGATATTTTGGACTTTTGAGCAGTGCATCAAGCAGGCGCCATTGTTGTATGTTTTGAGCAAGAAAATAACGTTTCTTGTGAAGAACACAAAAATCAAAAGCCCCGCCAGAGAAATCTCACCAACGACGACCGAAAAGCCTGTAGAGTCCTCTTTTTTGTTTTTTTTTTTCTCTCATTAGGGATTTCGTTTTTGTCCTTAGCCGACCTTATTCCTTCGTTTTCATCTCGGATTCGCACTACCATGTGCGACGGCAGCTCTAGGAATGCGCACTTAAAGCTCTTCCTGGTAGCTACAAGCTATGGAATGCGTATCTGCGAGAACGCCTTGAAATTGTTAGAAATCTACCCGTTACTCACCCCAAGTATGACACCCTCAACAATACGTTTGAAAGAGCTCTTGTTACAATGCACAAGATGCCCAGGATATGGATAATGTACTTGCAAACCCTGACAGAACAGAAGTTGATTACTAGAACGCGTAGGAGTTTTGACAGGGCTCTCTGTGCATTGTCAGTGACTCAGCAGGACAGGATTTGGGAGCCTTATTTGGTATTTGTGAGCCAAAAAGGCATCCCTATTGAGACCTTAGTGTAATATTTGATGCTTATTCACAATTTGAAGAGAGTGTGATTGCTCACAAGATGGAGAGCTTGGATTTAAGTGATGAGGAAGAAGAAGACATACAAGAAGACACGATTGAGGAGGATGAAGATATTCGTTTGGATGTTGGTCTGTGCAAGTCAAAACACAAGTTTGAGAGGAAAATATTTAAGGGGTTTTGGTTGCATGATGACAAGGATATAGATCTGAGGTTGGCTCGGTTGGAGAATTTAATGAACAGAAGGCCGGAACTTGCCAATAGTGTCCTCTTACGTCAAAATCCACATAATGTGGAGCAATGGCACAGGAGGGTAAAGATTTTTGAGGGTAGCCCAACCAAACAGATTTTGACTTACACAGAAGCAGTGAGGACGGTTGATCCCATGAAAGCAGTTGGGAAGCCTCATACCTTGTGGGTTGCCTTTGCTAAATTGTATGAGAACCACAAAGATATAGCTAATGCTCGAGTGATTTTTGACAAGGCAGTGCAAGTAAACTACAAGACTGTGGATCATCTGGCTAGTGTCTGGTGTGAGTGGGCAGAAATGGAGTTGAGGCACAAGAATTTCAAAGGGGCACTGGAGTTGATGAGGCGGGCGACAGCTGAACCATCAGTTGAGGTGAAACGAAGAGGTAATCCTTATCCTTCC